AAAAAAAAAAAAAAAAAAAACATGTTACTCCTGGAACCAAGTGGTTAATTTAAAAAAAAACAAAAAAACCATTACAGTGTTTAAACTTCAACAGATGGCCGGGGAGATGGCTCAGTAGAATAAGCACTTCCCTGGCAAGCTCAAGGGCCTGAGTTCAATCCACAGTTCTGCCAAAACAAAAAATAAAAATAAACCTCAACAGATGAGTATTATTTGTATGAAAAGTATTTGGAACATGTATTCTATTGAAAATAGTGATTCTAAGAGTTGGAATATTTTCTCTCAAAAAAAATGTATGTAATTGAAATAAAATAGAACATATGTTTTGCTTTATATGCACACACATGTAATTACATATATTACTAATGTGTATGTGTTTGGGGTTAGTTTGCCCAGTTGCTAAGAATCAGGTTGAAGTCTTTCTGTGTTAGTCAAGTGCCCTACCAGCAGACTTCATCTCCAGCCTACCTTCTTCAACCTCTGCATCTACTTCAGATGTATTTCTGCTGTGAACATACAGCCTTAAATGCAACTACTATCTGTCCCATTTATAAATTTAGTCACTAGGAATCTCATTTTTGGTATTCTTGCTAATCAAGCTTTGAGTTTATGAGTCCTTTGTGATTGTCAGTACTGCCAGTTCTCTTCCCAGTTTAGCGTGTGTGTGCATGTGCACCCAATGTGTGTACTGCTAGAGACTGAATCCAAGGCCTTAACACATACTAGTAAGCATAGGCGCTTATCTCTGAGCTACATAATTGCCAATGTTTCTTCTCAGTTTTATCTTTAGATCAAAGCTCCTGGCAGTCTTGGTGTGGTGGTACACACCTATAACTCAATGTGGGAGGCTAAGACAAGAGGATCATTGCACATTTGAGGCCAGCCTGGGCTACATAGTTCAAGACTAGCCTAAACTACATAGCAAAACCCTGTGTCAAACAGACAAACCCCATGCTACTGGTAGTAAGTACTTTTTACCAGGTGTGCCATCACTGATCTCCCACCTGACTATTTTTCCCACTTAGCACTGAAAACCATTTCTGTACAAGCTCCAAGCTGCCATAGTAGACAGGGTGACATCTTTGACAGTAGGAAACCTGGTGGAGTAGTGAGAATCACCTTGAGCAATCCCTATTATAGTGGTCGGCTACCATTTGACACATTCTAGATACTGAGCACCTGATAGAAAGATTCAGTGCAAAATGATTTTGTGGTTTTGACTATAAATCTAACCATACATTTTCATAAACCAAGGCAGATAGATACTAGTAAAAATTAAGAAAATGTGTTTGATGCTAACCCAGATTTTCTTCTGATTGCAACAGAAGTCTGTGACTCCTACTTACCATCAGTTTTTATTTTTGAATTAGCATTTAAGGAAATCAGAAATGCATTCAATTTATTTAAAAAAACAACAGAAGAAAAAACTGATGTTGCTGAGAACAACTGGAAAAAAGAAGAAATATTGGATTGTAAAACTACAGAAGACCAAAAAGCCAAGGAAAACAAGTACTCACTGAAAGAAAGCAGAAATACTAGAAATGAAACTGACACTTGGGCACACATTGCTGCAGAAGACCAGCAGGAGGGTGTGGACAGTGTGTGTCCAGCAGATGAGAATTTGGGTGAGTTTGCTTGATACTGTTTTGCAGAATGTTTTCAGAGTAGTGCACCATATTGATTATTCTTACCCCCTATATTTCTGGTCAGAAAATAACGTTTTATTTGGATTTTGTGAATAAAAACTTTATACTGAAAACTCGAGTCATTCTTTGGCTTCTAAATATATCAAAAGATATTTTGTCTGTCCATGTAATATGCTTAGCACATTGAGAAGTTAAGTTTTCAGAACTTGCAACTCGTGTATTAATGGATTCTTTCTAGATACACTTTGTTTTTAGCAGTACTCAGGATTGGGCCCAGGGCTGCTCTTATCAGTGAGGTAAAATTCCCCAAGACCTTTTTTTTTTTTTTTTTTTTTTTTTGAGACACAAGGACATTAAGTTTCTCAGATAGAACTCAAATTTGCAGTCTCCTGCCTTCACCTCCCTTGTTGCTGGGATTACAAGTTTGCACCATCACAACTGGTTTGTACCCTTCCCTTTTAACTTGTAAATAAAAACCACATAAAAGAGTTGTAAACAGTATCTGCGGGCATTGGAATTACCTGAGAAAGGCACAGTACAGCATACAGAGCTGTGGGGAAGAACAGGACATAAAGGTTGATTTGATGAAACTAATGTTTGAATCTTTAGAAATTAAGATTCTTAAAATAAGTTATGTGACAGACTGGATATTTTGAGAACTCTTACTATAAAACTATATTCTAGGTGCCTTGATAAAACATGCTTTTGGAGGTATGGCTGAGCTTGCATGAAATTGGGGTGACTTCTGGAACTGGTTGATAAGGACAAGAGAGTCAGTTGTCCCAAAAGTATATGTCAAATAGTAGCACTACTGTTAAGAGATACTATAAGATGGGCATGGTGGCACATCCTTAGAATCCCCACACTTCAAAGTCTGAGGCAGGAAGATTTCTACAAATTCGAGGTCAGTTGGGGCTGCTTAGTGAATTAAAAGACCAGCCTGAAGAATATAGTGTGAGTGTCTCAAATGAAACAGAACCCAAAAGGATGCATACTTTAAAGACTAGATATAGGAGGGAGCAGTAGTAAAACTGAAAGTTAATTTCTTGAAAAGACTAAAGAGGGCTGGGGTTATAGCTTAGTGATTTAAGTGCCTGCCTGACAAACACAAGGTTCTGAGTTAAATCCCCAGTACCACAAAAAAAGAATTAGACAAGCTTCTGACATAGCTGAAGGTGTTTTGAAAAAAGGTCTTAACCAATATTTCACATGAAAAACCAGCCTCAGTTACAGATGGAAAAGATAAAAGGATTCTATGTGTATTTTCTTACAAATAGATTGGAAAAATCAATGACATGGGGAAATTCCTGGTTTTAACAGAATCAGCTCAGATTGAGGTGTGGAGAGACATGCCTGTAATCCTACCATGTTGACAGACTTAAGATAGGGTCACAAGCTGAAGCCCAGCCTAGGCAGTTAGCATCTAAGTATCACCCTGCTTCACAATTAAAAAGGACCAGTGATGTGGCACAGTGCAGAGATCCTGGGCTCAATCCCTAGTACCACACATACACAGAAAAGAATATAGACTTGAGTTGTCTGTAGTTCAGGCTAGGCTTAAATTTTATGTGCTGGCCTTGAACTCATGGTGATCCTGCTCTCTCAGCCTCTAGAATGCAAGGGTTACAGGCATGTCTCACCACATCTGGCTCCAACAAATAATTAAAAAAAGATGAAATGGCTGCACACACCTAGGATCCCATCACTCTGGAGGCTGAGACAGCATGCTTGCAAAGAGTTTGAGGCCACATTGGACTAATGGAGTTCAAGGCCAGCTTGAACTGCACAGTGAGATCCTATCCCTTGTCCCCAGTCCCTCCCCTCCAAAAAAAAAAATCATGAAATGGTAATTGGATTTAATAGAAAGACCAGAAGGATTTATACTCAAGGGCTATCAAACAGATAAGTCTTCATAAACATTAATTTTTTTTTTTTGCGGAACCGGGGATTGAACTCGGATCCTTGCATTTGCCAGTCAAGCACTTATCCTACTGAGCCATCTCTCTGGCCGTATAAACATTCATTCTTTGAGACCACTATAACTTCAATATCAAAATCAGATAAACTATATAAGGAAAACAACAGGCCAAGCTCATCCATGAGTTTAGATGTGAAAGTTCTAAACAGAACCTGTACACATTGAATATAGGTTTGTTTAAAGAATCCTTAGATGTTTTCCTTAGGAATTGTAAAGCAAAATATTTAATAGCATTGTTATTAACAGCAATTTTTTTTTTCTTTTAGATAGGGTCTCAGTTTAACTATATAGTTCAGGCTGACCTTGAACTGACTATATAGCTCCAGTTAGCTCAAAACAGGCAGTCCTGCCTCAGCCTCCCAAGTGCTGTGATTACAGGGGTATAACTACCATGTTGGCTGCCTTCTTGATTTTTGAAATACAGCCAACTATGAAAACAGGGTGCTTTCAGCTGTTTAAAATATCACTAAACCAAAGGCAAAAGATTTGTAATGGCTAAACATAAGCAACATTTTTCTCAAATCAGGAGAAATAAAAGGATGTTGTCTGTCACCACTGTCTTTCAGCATTGTACTGTAAAACAAAGAAAAGCAGAAGGCATTGGAAAGGAAGGAAGGACCAAAAACAGCCTCATGCTCAGATGGTATGATCCGTAGAAAAATGCAAAGGAATCTATACACATTATTGGAAATACAGTATTACAAATTGGGGTCCTGGGATAAGGCTGGTTAGGAGAGTGCTAGCTTTGTGTGTCTAAGGCCCTTAGTGCCCCTCTAAGTACATGTATTACAAGTGCAGTGAGGTGACTGGATAGAAGAATAGTGCACAAAAGTCAGTGGTATGTCCTATATTCACTAATTTATTTTTGAGATGTGAGTTTCACTATGCAGTTTGGTTTAGGCTGACATTGATTTCATTATATAGTCCATGCTGGCCTTAAACTGGCAATCCTCCTGTCTCAGCCTCCTAAGTGCTGAGATTAGAGGAATATTTGGCCAGTACACATCTTCTTAAAAACTTTTTTTTGTGTGTGTGACAGGGTCTCTGTAGAGTCCAGGCTAGGCCGGCGTTGAACTCAGTATGTAGCCCACACTGGCCTCAAACTTGTGATCATGTTACCTCAGTGTCCACTCCCCCCATGTGCTGGAATTATAGCTATGCACCCCCCCCCCCCCCATGCCTGGAAGAGAAGCTTACTTTTTTTTTCCCCCCCTCCGGTACTGGGGATTGAACTCAGGACCTTGCACTTGACAGGCAAGTGCTTATTCTACTGAGCTATCTCCCCAGCCCCTTAGCTTAGTTTTCAATAGCAATATATTTATAAGATGCTAACAATATTGTTGGTAAAAGATAAGGTTGTGGGGCGAGGAGATGGCTCAGTGGAATAAGCGCTTCCCTGGCAAGCGCAAGGGCCTGAGTTCAATCCCTGATTCCACCAAAAAAAAAAAAAATAAGGTTGCATGGAGAAAATTCCAGAGTGTTTCTTGAGTAAGTCATTAAAATCTACATATGCCACTGTTACTAATTGAAAAAACAGTTTCTATACCACTATCCTCAGACTGCTCTATATTTTTTATTTTTTGCCAGAACCAGGGTTTGAACTCATGCCCTTGCGCTTGCCCGGGAAGCACTTATTCCACTGAGTCAAACTGCTTTATAAAGCTCAGTGTGGAGTAGAGAGTGCAGCTCAATGGTTGGGCCACTTCCCTGGCATGTTTAAGGCCCTGGCTTCCAACTCCAACACCACACAAAAAAACCTGTTGTTTTTTTTTTTCGTGGAATTCCCAAGCATTGATTGTAAAATTAATGAAGACTTAAGAAAAGCCAAGTCCATTTTGACAGTGGTAATCACAACTCACTGTCTAAAGCCAGCAATGAGTATAGGGAATAAATCAGTTTAATACCGACACTGCAGAGACCCCTCAGGCAGGGCTGCCATACCCCTGTGCTTGGAGAGCACATCTGTGTCAGCAAGTTGGGATAACTGACTGTTTCTACAGGGAACTCCAACAATACCCAGGTATTAGGTATTTAGAGCATTAAGAATATTTGTGACCTTGGGGTTGGGAAAGACAAGACAAAAAAACATAATGATAGGATTGATAAAGTAAGTTCACTGGGTTGGGAAATGGGGTCTCCATTGTGATCTGAGACAGACCATAAGATTAGGCCTGTCACTGCCTGTTATTTTGGACTAAAAGAATAATCCACGTGCATATTCCTTATGAAAGGGAACTGCAGTTACTATGACCCTTCTGCTGTTACTCAGAATTGAGGTGCAGGAAGTCTGTGACAGCCAAACAGCTCATTGGCACCTGGGTTATAGAGCCATAATGCAAAGGCTGTGCCATCCCTAGGTGTGATACTGTGCTCAGTGTTGGCAAAGTTGTCTCACTTGCATCTTTTGCAAATTTTATTTCTGTTGGCTAGGTTATCTGCTTATCTGTCTTACTTAGAAAAGACTAGTTTCCTAGTTTTTGAGTATTTTCCAGTTTTAATCCTTTATGTCTACAATTGAGAAAAAGCTTTGGAATTTAAAATTATATCTATAAATTGACTGAAAACTGACATTTTTATTTCTATTTTGATTCTTTCATCAATGAAAAAGTTTGGTAGTTAGCTCTTCACTTATAACCTCTTCAACCTCTGTATATTTTGAGTTGGTTTAACTTAACTGATACTAAATAGCATGTAGGCATTTGGAATTACTCTCGATAAGCTATACTGAGGTCTCAGTGATGTGCCACAGTGTTAATGAGGGATGAGCATAGCATTCAGGGTTCAAGGGTGCATGGATCTGTCAGATGTGGGAAGGAAACCAGCAATTTATGCTTTTTTTTTTTTTTAATGTATTTAGTACAAGGTCTTACTACATAGATCAGGCTCATAGTGATCCTCCTGTTTTCAGCCTCCCAAGCTAGAGATTATAGGTGCATGCCACCACACCTTCTCAGTCGCTGTCTCAGCTTTCCCTGGGGGTGGGGCTGGTACGCAAGGGATCAAACCCTGGTTGCTGAGCCTGCCTAAGCAAGCACTTTAGTCTGCTGAGCTGCCTGTCTGGCCCTTATGCTGTTGCCTTGAGAGTATAGTTCAGGCACTGTGGGATCCAAGTCTGGGAGGGTGATAAACAATGATTTTTATTTAGTTACTGGTAAAATTTACGTATTTAAAATGACTACCTAGGGCTGGGAAGAAAGCGCAAGGGTCTGAGTTCAATTCCGGTTCCACACACACACACACACACACACACACACAAAAATAACTACCTGTATGAACAGTTGGAAGCAGTACTTCATAAGACTGGGCAAGTACAGGAAAAAAATGTTAAAATCACTCATGATTTCTCTTCATAAATCCTCA